ACTAGCCGCTCGTATTGACGGCTTTGGGTCCATACAGACTGTTTTAGCGCTGTGATGATTGTAAAGTTTCCTTTGGATTTCATTTTTATTTTCACAGTATTCATTTGTCTACAATTAATCTGTTCTATTGCAAGGGCATTTTAAGTGTCTTTAACTTCTTTTTAGACTTTCTAGCTTATCTTGTTAGATCTCCTTATGGTCTTAGCATATCGTGTTCGATCTTCCTCATGGTCTTCTTCGCACATGAACCTACCCTTTTTTAATAATGTTATAGGAGTAGGGATTAGTTCTCCTCTGACATGTGCCAATTTTTCCTTCTCTTCTTTTTAATTGATGCAGGAACTCCATTCTGGAAACTGGTTCTGAAACAATTCGATGATTTACTTGTCAAGATATTGATTGTGGCTGCAATTGTTTCTTTCGTATTGGCTTTGGCTAATGGAGAGACTGGTTTAACAGCATTTCTGGAGCCTTTTGTAAGTTGCATCATCTTTTTTACTACTCTCACTGGCATACATATAATGGTTGATAATTAAAAGATTTTATCTGGTCAACTGGACTGGCTATTGGGTCTTTGTGGTGAAGTTTAAACTTGAAACCTTGTTCTCCTTCTCTTCTCTATGGTCTTTGTGAAATGTAATTATTTATGTTTATCTTTTCAAACTGACTAGTTTTTAATGGTCTAGATATAATATCTATAAGCAGACTAAAGACCTTGACCAAGACCTTCATAAAACTAGATATTACGTGTGGAGCTTCTTTTTGGTATCACAATGCTTGTTTGAATATACTATTCTATCACAGGTCATTCTGCTGATATTGGCTGCAAATGCGGCAGTGGGGGTGATCACGGAGACTAATGCTGAGAAGGCTCTTGAGGTAGTTATCGTGCTACGGTTTAAGCTTTTACATTGCAATTATACTACCAGATCTCCGTTAAATCAATTACTTTTATATATACCGGGCAATACAAGATCAGGTTTCTCTCTTTCCCCTAGGTACTGCGGTCAAGGGTACAAAAGACTCTAATGTTCTTAAAGATTATGTTAATATTAGATCTATTTTGGCTGTAAGTTTGTATTGCTTATCTATCTTGTATGTTCTCCCTTTGTCTTGTTGTAGGAGCTACGCGCCTACCAAGCAAATATAGCTACAGTGTTGCGAAATGGTACTGATACAATTCCTTGTGTTGTCTTAAATGACAGCTATTGACATTAAGAATTAAGTTTTTGCACACTTCCATTTTGTTTTTTTTTTATTTATTTTAGCTTGGGACATTGTTCCAGTTGTAGTAGGATATCTGCAAGTTTTTTCTAGGTTGATGACATTCCATGTTAACATGTACATAATTGCAGGGTGCTTCTCTATCCTACCGGCAACAGAGCTGGTTCCAGGCGACATTGTTGAAGTTACTGGTATGTTTGTTCTATTATACCTAAATGATATTTTGTGGCAATGGCTTAGACTTTTACTAGATTCTAAAATCTGCTTTTTTGATGTGTGGATGATAAACAGTGGGATGTAAGATTCCAGCTGACCTGAGGATGATTGAGATGTCTAGCAATACGTTTCGAGTTGATCAAGCCATCCTAACTGGTATGTCACCTGTGTTACCATAAGTCATAACTCTTTATATGCGTAGCCACGAGAACTACCTATGCCAATTGATACGTAGTACAACTTCAAGCCAATCGTTTTCTCCACCAATTAATTTCTGGAATGAACATGCATTTTCTTATCACATTATAGCTTCAACCACAATAGTGGATCTTTTTCCTGTAAATAAATTCAATGTGACCATTTATAGTGGACTATATTCATATTCTCACTACCAATTGTTTACCCCGGAAATTGCAGGTGAAAGCTGCTCCGTGGAAAAAGATGTTGACTGTACTTTAACAACAAATGCTGTCTACCAAGACAAGAAAAATATTTTATTTTCGGTAGGAGTTAGAACTCTTAGCTGCATTAGCTAGGTCCAAATTTGTGTATAATGCTTTTCCTGTTAGGGCTGTATAATACCATTTCCTATTCCTTTTTATTTTTTATCTAATGCTATTTCATCCTTACACCTTAACCAACTGTAGTATTCCTACTTTTGTCTCACCATTAGAGTTTAAGGATCTACTATCTGTTGTACTCACCTATTTCATTTTCCGATTGTCTCTTCATACATCTATCTTTCTGTGTTTAAATTTGATAAGAGTATAATATTATTGCCAGGGAACTGATGTGGTCGCGGGTAGGGGGAGGGCTGTTGTCATTGGAGTTGGTTCAAACACCGCAATGGGTAGCATACACGATTCTATGTTGCAGACAGATGATGTAAGCTATCACTATTCTCTCGTTTTTATCTGGAAATGCACCATTTGCACTTTTAATATCCTTTGTTACTGGTCAGAACTCTCTTATAAACAGAGTTTATATTGTAACTTTGACTGGCTTAAACTTCCTCTGATGAATTGTTTGTCACTGTTGCACTTATGGGACAGTAGACTTGTATCCTGCTGTATAATATAGTTTCAGCATTCCATTTGGAGTTTCTTTTCTATCTGTTTTGAAGTGCGTTATAACTACTAGAATTTTCCTTATTTATTACTTGTAATTGCTATTGTCTTAGGAGGCAACTCCATTGAAAAAGAAGCTGGACGAGTTTGGCAGCTTTTTGGCTAAGGTGACAAATTTTTTGCTTTTCAAGTCTTGGATGTCCAATTGTATCAGTTATCAGAATTTTTTTAATTGTGTCTGAAAAGTGATGAATTTCATTAGAGAAAAAAGGATTTGTCAAATGACTGGTGTGACAGAGATCTCTTGTAGAAATTATAGTTAGTTAATTTCATCGATAAATTATATGTTACTCAGCATAACTTAAAGTCCTCTCATAACATAGCATATATTATATATTATATGTTACTCTGCAAACTTTAAGTCCTCTCTCGTATTATATGTGACAAATCTATTTTATGTGTCTAGGTTATTGCGGGGATTTGTGTACTTGTGTGGGTTGTCAATATTGGTCACTTCAGTGACCCTTCTCATGGTGGATTTTTTAAAGGCGCAATTCACTACTTTAAGGTAAAGAAATTTGATCTTCTCTTATGACAGCTTTGATTTCTTACTTAGGGAGTACATAATCAGTTTTGTGTGTCCCACTCTTGCTGTAATATCAAAAGATAGATTTTGCTTCTCCATTGTTTCGGTGACATCCCTAGAAGTGAACCCATGCAGGTTCAAAGAAATAACCAGAGAATTGTTAACCCACTAAATCGACATTCAACATTTAAATATTGAAAGTCACAAAGAAATTTTCGCTCTGCAATGGGTGGATTTTTATCATTGCTTATTTGACTTAACTGAAGATGGATGTACTGTCCTGTTAAATTATTGAATAATAAGTTAAAGTTTGGTGACACGATTGTTGCTTTGCTTTTATTTTCCCAGATTGCAGTTGCCCTTGCTGTTGCAGCTATTCCTGAAGGACTTCCTGCTGTCGTTACAACGTAAGTGCTCATTAAGTCCATGGTTAGCAAATACAATATTATGAGAAAGGCTAATGATCGATGAAACTTAAGATGATTTCTGTGGAACGTTAGTGATATCTTGGAAACAAGGAGTTTCCCAGAAAGTAGGTGGTTCTTGTGATCGTCAATTGACAATTTTGTTTCAAGTTCAGCCACCCCAATGTTGATTGAGTCCAAAATGCTATGAACAAGTAAATTTCCACGTCAGGAGGCTACTTCTGGTTATAATATTGTTGCTTAAATAGATTATGATGCTTTTGGTATCTAGATGTTTAGCTCTTGGAACAAAGAAAATGGCTCGTTTGAATGCTATTGTACGGTCATTGCCATCTGTCGAGACGCTTGGGTGCACCACTGTAATTTGTAGTGACAAGACTGGAACATTGACAACCAATATGATGTCGGTGTCTAAGGTTAGTATTTTAACCCCAGTCATCGGGACTGTTAACTCTTACTGGTATCTGCCACTTGCAATTTTCTATTTGAATTGTTTCCAGGAATATATTGGATTGATAAATCTTGGTAATGTAGTTCATGTGTGTATATACACATGACCGTATATGTTTGCAATTTTCTTCAGGTCTAACTAGGAAGGATTAACAATTTTGTTAGTAGATCTTGTGATTTTGTGAATAACTAACTGCAGTAATTACATCCTTGCATATAGTTTTTCTCATTGTGTTGTCTCCGATGGTAATAATTGAATAGTCTTACTCTTCTGCTTGCATGGCAGATATGTGTAGTCCAATCTGCAGAGCATGGTCCTATGATTAATGAATTCACTGTTAGTGGGACAACTTATGCACCAGAAGGTACCGTCTTTGACAGCAATGGGCTGCAGGTAATTATTGCTTCTCCTCTGAACTATGTAAGTAAGCAACTAATTCATACACAGCACTTTTGAGGATGACTGGTAGTTGTTTACCTACATACTCAGAAATTGTTACCATGCAACTATTAAAGGACAGGTTGAACTGAAAATTTCATCTCAGGATTGCTTGATAAAATTGATCTGGATACTTGATGACAATAGTTCCTAAAAGTTGACAGTCTACAAGAATCATTTCTTTCTCCTTTTATTTTATACATTTGCTGTATCTTACATTCCTCATATTTCATTTTTTTTAAGATTTCATGGAGTTCCTTCTCAATGATTTATTATTTGTGAAAGATAAAAGACCATAAACTCAATAGCGAGCGTCAAACTACACGCACATGCCTTGTCACAACACACAACATTCTAAGACTAGATGTTTACTTGTTTTGCAGCTTGATTTACCTGCTCAGTCACCTTGCCTTCATCATTTAGCAATGTGTTCATCACTCTGCAATGACTCCATCTTGCAATACAATCCAGATAAAGATTCTTATGAAAAAATTGGAGAATCGACTGAAGTTGCTCTTCGAGTTCTTGCAGAAAAGGTTTTTGTTTCTGTGAAATCTTTCTTTAGTAGAATTTGTTACACACAACAAGAAAAATCGTGGAACATAACATACTGTTTCTCTATTGACTTGAGTGACCATCCATTTCGTGTCATCTTACTATGTACCCAGCTCAGAGGTTGAACTTACTAAGTCTGAAATATCTGATTGACTGTCCAAGTTACATCTTTTACTTATTTTTCAGGTTGGGCTCCCTGGTTTTGATTCAATGCCTTCTGCTCTAAACATGCTGAGCAAGCATGAACGTGCATCATATTGCAACCATTATTGGGAAAACCAATTCAAAAAGGTGGGACTCTAGTAAAACTAAACTATTTGTTATGTTGACCGTCATTTTACATGCCTTTAACTGATTATGTAATTTTTTTGCTCCTATAGTTTTCTGGAAACTATGAAATTGAAAAATACTAGGCCCTGAATTTATAGTAGCCAATTCAATACACACTTTTTTATCTTTGTTGAGCTCTGAGTAAATCTATATAAGGTTTTCCTTCTGCACTAAATAGCTATTGCATGAGCACCAGTATAATTAGAATATAAATATTGACCTGGGAGCATTATATTATAAATAATATATAGTAATTTAGTATGAGTAATTGATTGTCATCAAAAATCCACCCAGGTTTATGTTTTGGAGTTTACCCGTGACCGCAAAATGATGAGCGTCCTATGTAGCCATAAGCAAATGGATGTAATGTTCTCAAAGGGTGCTCCAGAGAGTATAATAGCTAGGTGTACTAAAATTCTTTGCAACGGTGATGGTTCTGTTGTTCCTCTAACTGCTGCTGCCCGTGCAGAGCTTGAGTCAAGGTTCCACAGGTTAGACATCAACTCGTTTAATGAATATGATCATATTTTCATATTACTTTGTGATGGTTATCTTTCGATGCTTGTATTCTCACTCTAATAGTAATTTTGCTGTTAAAGGTTTGACCGAAGTGTTTTTTCCATTTTCTGACCATGTCTTTCTGCAACAGTTTTGGCGATGAAACATTGAGATGCTTAGCATTAGCATTTAAAACCGTGCCCCACGGTCAACAAACTATTTCCTATGATAATGAGAACGACCTGACGTTTATTGGGTTGGTACGCCTTTCTTTCAAATATGATGGATTCAATTAGGTTTACTGATTTACCATTTTTATTTTACTGTTGAAGACTTGCTCATATTATTATGCTTCCTTTGAAGGTGGGAATGCTTGATCCACCAAGAGAAGAAGTGAGAGATGCTATGCTTGCGTGCATGACTGCTGGGATACGTGTTATTGTTGTTACTGGGGATAACAAGGTACTAGAAAATTGAGCATGCGGTTTGTTGATTATCTTCATCATTTTTGTACTTATTCTGATTAGCATGAAACTTCAGTCCACAGCAGAGTCACTATGTAGAAAAATAGGGGCTTTTGACAATCTGGTAGACTTTTCTGGTATGTCCTACACCGCTTCTGAATTTGAACGGCTTCCAGCGGTGCAGCAAACTCTAGCACTGCGACGGATGACACTTTTTTCCAGGTATTTATTCATCTCTTTTTTTTATTGATAAGTGTTTTTAGAATCACGGAACTACATGTTCACTTATTACGTGTATTAGTCATTCATGAGAAACCAGAATTTTCTGTTGTTTCTCTTTTTGTGTAGGGTTGAACCTTCCCACAAAAGGATGCTTGTTGAAGCCCTACAGAACCAAAACGAAGTGGTAAATCCCTGGTCACTAAGTTGTCATTCATTGTCTGCGTTTCAGTTCACATGCATTCATGTTTTGTATTAATGGCTTTGTTCCAACATTTCAAGTTTGTAATATATTTACTTATTAGAGAAGAAAGTTCTTGCTTCTAACTGTCGCACTCATGAACCTTATTCTCCTAGGTGGCAATGACTGGTGATGGCGTCAATGATGCCCCTGCATTGAAGAAAGCTGACATTGGGATTGCCATGGGTTCTGGAACAGCTGTAGCAAAGGTATATACTTAGTGTTTGTTTTCAGGTGGCATACTGTATTCCTGTGTCACTTGATTTTTATTTGTACCATTCAAACTTATCATCATTTTTAAATGATAGCTAGCCATAATCTCTTGTCCATGTGCTTTTATCTTGATCCCTTCTTCTCGTTCAGACATGGTAATCAGTTGATATGGTAATCTTGTCCTCCAATTATGAGGTCCTTATGCTGTCGTTATTTATCCTATGTTGCAATTCAAAACAAAAATATAGTGAAAATTTTTCTGGTTATTGCTTGTGCTATAGTAGTGATACAATGCAATGTGACCGCTACAGAGAATTCTTCTGAGCTAGCAGACTAATTAAGCCACTAAAACTGGACTGTTCCTTCCTTCAATAAACTGGCTTGCCAAGGGTTCATATCTCTATGCTCTTCTGCGGTTAACCTAATTTTTCTCTCATTGCTTTGAATTCCAGAGTGCTTCAGATATGGTTTTGGCTGATGATAATTTTGCTTCAATTGTTGCGGTATGTTTGCTTCCTTCCATTTTCTTATAGTTATTCCTTTATGCTTGATTCTGGCACACACTTCGCATATTCATATATCACATCTATTAAATTATGCAAATCTTAGTTGGCCATCCTTCTCCCCAGTCTGATATAAAGAAAAAAACAAGACTACGAATCACACTGCAGTATCTTTATTAATGCAACTCCTAAACTGTTTCTCATCTTGACAGGCTGTTGCAGAAGGAAGGGCTATATATAATAACACAAAGCAATTCATTAGATACATGATCTCTTCAAATATAGGGGAAGTGGTCTGTATATTTGTTGCAGCTGTACTGGGAATCCCTGATACCCTGGCACCTGTGAGTTTGTTTAGCGTGGAAGCAACTTATCTGCAAAGTTTATTTGTGTTAATCTTGTCTGAATTTATGATTGTTATGGTAAATAATTGTAGGTTCAACTTCTGTGGGTCAATTTGGTAACAGATGGATTGCCTGCCACTGCCATTGGCTTTAATAAACAAGATTCCGATGTTATGAAGGCAAAACCCCGAAAGGTAGCAGTTGTAACTGGACAGTATCTCTGTGGATTTTTGTTCATGGAGAGAAGTAATATGAAAAACGATTACTTTGGCACGATTTGGCATCAGTTTGAATTCACGGGAGCTCATAATACTATACTCCTTATTTATTAGGTTTATGATGAGGACTCTTTGACCTTTACCAATATTATGGGTTTTAGTGATGATGGTGCGAAGGCTTCGTCATTTAACTTTAAGATGTGATTTACAGTTCTCAATTAACTATCTGCTTGTAATTTGCTAATTTCTTCTCAAACTACTCAGACCTTTTATCTTCATTATTCTTCTGATTGTTGTTGAATTCCAGGTTGGTGAAGCAGTGGTCACTGGGTGGTTATTCTTCCGCTATTTGGTTATCGGAGGTAAACTGATAATGTTGCTCTGTAACTTATCTTAATCATCTATACGAAACTAAGATTTTGGAATCTTTGAGGTCAAGTAGTTAAATGTGAATTTATGCCTTCAAGCTTTTATCCTTCTAGAGGACCTATCTTCTTGACCTGTTTATATTTCTTTGCAGTTTATGTCGGCCTGGCAACTGTTGCTGGCTTTATATGGTGGTTTGTTTACTCTGATGGTGGTCCTAAACTTACTTACAGTGAACTGGTTAGGTTTTATTTCCAGCTACATCTTTCAGATTATTTCATCATTTATGTGTGTACCTCCAGATTTTCGAAGTTGTTTTCCAAGTTGCTGATCAAACGATTCATATCATTTCAGATGAACTTTGAAACGTGCGAACTTAGAGAGACAACTTATCCCTGCAGCATATTTGAGGATCGGCACCCATCTACTGTGGCTATGACAGTACTTGTTGTTGTCGAGATGTTTAATGCTCTAAATAACCTCAGCGAAAATCAATCCCTTCTGTAAGCGTAGCTTTTTCCTTTCTTTCTTTCCTTGTTATCGATTTTTTTCTGTTGATTCACTACAACATCATAGAGTTTACTGCATTTAGGAAGTCTTAACTATTTCAAACAAAATATAATGCCGTTGAATAGACTATAAGTGGTGGAGTGTCATCCATGAACAAACATTGGATTATGCAACTTGACGAGATTGCTCCTTGATCAGTTATATTAGCTTTAGTAAAGAAGGTATGTGATTGCAGGGTTATAACCCCAAGGAGTAACTTATGGCTTGTTGGTTCAATTATTCTGACAATGCTTCTGCACGTGCTAATATTATATGTTCATCCACTGGCAGTCTTATTTTCTGTAAGTTTCCTCTCTTCTGCAAACCTTGTACAAAAAGTGGCGTACCTGTTTTCTTCTTTTCAGTCTCATGGTCACTGCTTTATAGGTGACGCCATTATCCTGGGCCGAGTGGACTGCTGTTATGTATCTTTCGTTTCCAGTAAGTTTTTGTTTTCACTTTTAGCTTCTTCTGCATAGTCTAGTAGAACTCTTATGAACCCTCACACTGGAATCTAACCTTGCCATATACCACCTTAGTTCTCATATGGATGCAAATTTGTTAAGGAAAAGCATGACAATAGGCAGATCTTTCAGCTATGAGATAATATTTTCAAAGGAAATTAAACACCTCAAAAATGATTAGTTTGATTTGAATATTTCTGTAAATACTGCAGGTTATCATCATCGATGAGCTTCTGAAGTTCCTCTCTAGAAATACAGGTAATGCTTACTATGCTTATTCAGCAGTTTTTAAGACCCATGGGATTATGAATTTAACAGGGGCCTTAAATCTTGGTCCATTATCGATGAGATTATGAATTTAACAGAGGAACCGCAAATCAGATTTTCTGATAGTAAGTCCTGACTCTGATGTGTTGTTAATGTAGGCATGAGATTCAGGTTCAGATTGAGGAAGGCTGATTTGCTCCCCAAGGACCGGCGAGACAAGTAGGATAAGAAAACAAGAGATGGCTTTTTCATCATACAGAGTTTTTTTGGGATTATAGATACAACAGCACACAGAGAAGGGAACCTTGGGAGATTCTAATGCAATCCAAAAAGCCCCCAACACCATAAACCATAAAACTCTTTCGCTTTTGATTGTACCAAATTTCACTGTATGCTTACATCAAATCAATGACTACTGCTCTGTGCCATTCTCTGTACCAAAGTGAATCGGAAGTTCTAACATTTACAACTTATAATGAGATTCGCAGATTATGTGTTTTATTTTTTATCCAGTATTAGCTGCTATTAATCTTTAGAAGATCCCATCTATGAACAACTAGTGGAGCCCTGTCACAACGAAATGAAAAGAAGATGACAATTCTATTTTTTAAGCAGAGAAAACGTAAGATATTTTGATTCAGTGTATATAATTTGTGTCGATACTCGGATAATTAATGGGAAAAATGTCATTAAAATCCCCAACTTATTCAAACCGTTGATTTAAATCCTCAACTCACGACGAAACAAAATAAATATCAAACTTATGTTGACTTTCCAAATAAATATTAAACTTATGTTGACTTTCCAAATAAACACCAAACTTTCATTGACTTGGCCATATTAGGCATGACGTTAAGTGAGTTAACAGACAATGTTAACGGGATTAATTTTCTGTTAACAGACCCGCTAATTAAAAATGACAGTATTGTTGAACTATAATCAAATCCCATCTAAGTCATATAACCTAAAGTCGTATTCATATAAGTTAGTTATTTACATAAGAGTCACGAATGTACGTACGTATAGTTGTGTATGTTCGTAAAGTTGTGTCTTTTCGATTAACACATGTACGTATACGTTGTTTCGTGTTGTATAAGTAGATCGAGTCAAACTCAATAACATTATTGTGTGTAATACATTTTCTCTTATCAATAAAGATCAAGTTTCTTCATACTTTATTTTTCATTTTGGTTTTGTTCTTCATACTCTATTAAAACAGAGTTCGTTTGTTGATCAAAACACTAACAAGTATTCCTTCTAAACATAAAACGACGTTGTTTTGTGTTAACTGTTCAATAAAATCCCGAGTTTCAAATCGAGTTTCAAATCATACTCTATTTAGGATTAGGGATTTTGCTCGATTTGGGGATCTAAGATTGACTTTAGGGATTTAATTCAATCGTTACGACAAAACGACGTCGTTTTGTTGTTATATGAAACAATGTCGTTATCAATTAACATATATGTTAACAGAAAATTACCTTCGTTAACGAGATCTATTAACTCACTTAACGTCATACCTAATATGGCCAGGTCAACAGAAGTTTGATATTTATTTGGAAAGTCAACATAAGTTTGATATTTATTTGGAAAGTCAACATATGTTTGATATTTATTTCGTTTTGTCATGAGTTGAGGATTTAGTAACCCACTTAACGTCGTACCTAATATGGTCAGGTCAACGGAAGTTTGATATTTATTTGGAAAGTCAATGAAAGTTTGGTGTTTATTTGGAAAGTCAACATAAGTTTAATATTTATTTGGAAAGTCAACATAAGTTTGATATTTATTTCGTTTCGTCATGAATTGAGGATTTAAATCAACGTTTTGAATAAGTTGGGGATTTTAACGACATTTTTCCCGATAATTAATTAGGAAAACATTATTTTTAACACTGGAGCAGCCTTATATAATACTCTATTTGATTAGGTAAAGTAGATTTGGTTGGCAGTGGCCAGTTGGAGGACAAAACAACAATACACTATAATAATCAAAACACGAAAGAAAAGATTACAAACATCGATGATTCATAAGCTTTCCGTCATTTAGTGGTAAAGCACAATGCTGTCCTTGATTTAATTATATTCACTAATTAATCATCGTATATACAACTTTATCAATGATAAATCCGAAAATGGAAATGCAGGCATATACAGCAAAACAAACGGGTTTAAAATCACTCATAGAAATATATCAGTCTATGAGGTCAACTGATTGATAAGGTACGAGGATTGTAGATTTCCACGCAATTATTATACCTAATACATAGTATTTGATTCTGTAAACCACAATTTAGATATCAATGACATTATTGTATGTTGGTTCCTTTTTCTCTCCAAAAAAGTACTCCAAACAACACAGTTAAAACGAAAACTTAAAGATACAAATGGAAAATCATTGAAACCAACTAAACAAAAAGAGTTAACCTTACGATTTAAAAAAAAAAAAAACTTGGATTCGAAGCTAGAGTAGGTTTAGTTATTTCTAATCAATCCAAAAATCAAGCTAAAAATATTATTTCATAGTGCTAGAAAAATATTATAATCAATCCACCAAATACTAAAATCAAGAAGAAGAAAAATTACAATTTAGGGCTACCAGTAACAGCGTAGGATTTGCTACGAGGATACAAAAGATCAGAGACTTTCTTAGTCTTCTTCATCTTCGGATTCACAGAGCCTTCCTCTGTTTCTTCCTCTTCCTCTATCTTCGCCATCCCAACACTCGAGCTCTTAGGTAACCCTCCTTGCTTCTGTTGCCTCTGTTGTTGCAGCTTCTCTTGTAACAACATGTCTATCTCATTCTTGTGCCCTAAACTCCTAACTGACGCAGCTCTCACTAGCTCGCTGTAATCTTCATCTATCCCGAAATCGGTGGCTCTCCGGGATGAAGCAGAGGAGGAGAAGGCGGCGGAGGAGGAGCTCCGGCTTCTAGGAAAAGGAGCGGAGACGGAGGCGGAGGAGGAATATTGAGTCCGAGCTGCGCAACCGGTGATGCTTCTCACGTAGAAATCACGTGCCTTGCCTAAAGCTCGTAGAGGTGTTGAGATTATTCTCAAGAACCTGTTCTGGTTTGGTTTCATGCTCTGTTTTTGTTTTTTTTTGGAAAATGGTTTTGTTTTTGTGTTTTGTTTGAATGGTGGGTTTGGTTTTTTTGGAGTGTGATGTGGTTTTAAGGGTTTATTTAAATAACGATAATGTTTAAAAAGAGTGTTAAAGAAGAAATAATTGAGAGAATCAAACGTGACTTTAGGATTTGTTTAGATATTTTATTCAAAAATATTGGTTTTACGAAAATAATTGTCGAAAGAGTGTTGAAGAGAGCAGTCCACAAGGTCCCACTGATTGAAAATCAATCATTAATCACAATTTGATATGTTGAAATTTGGAGTTTCTGTAGTACAGTAGTTTTCAGTTTTCATTTAAATTACTACTGTATCAGCACATATGAATTAACAGTAGTTTATATGAATTTCTTGTAGTTCAAATGAATAAATTATTGTAATAACGTAAGATTCTTTTTGAAATTAATCTAGATTTCTAGTTTTCAACTTTTGAATAAATTATTTGGATTTAAGAGTGAGTACCTAATATTGGATAAGTCATAAGACTCATAACCATGAAGTAACAAACGCCGCCTATGATTTTCTTCATTTTTCTCATGTGTTATTTTCTTTGTTCAAATTTAATTGTCAAAGAAATACTAATGTCAAAGCCTGAATGTACGGTTAGTCAAGCTTGTGGATTTGTCGTCGATTCGTAGAAATATAGAATAGTTTTATATATCGACCATGTTTTGTTTATTTTTTCTTTCTTTAATTTTCTTATTAAGCTATGTTAATAGATACTAAAATACATTTTCTTAAAATTATTGACTGAAGTCTGAATATCATCATTTTTAACAAAATAAAGGAGACTGAATATCATCGATTTTATTATTATAGAAGACTGAATATCATTGATTCCTTACGATTTTACTTGTAAAAATTTGATTTTACTTACTTGTTTCTGTTTTTATGTATTTTTAAAAGAGATAAAGATGGCCATAAGTTTTGACAACTAGCATAAACTTCAAAACCTGTTTGAATACGAAAACATGTACCGGCCTACCGGTTAAACTATTTTGTTACTATATAGAAACTTCTAAATCTTTATGGAGTAATAAAAAAAAATGGAAACGTGGTGCCGAAAACAACATATGGAAGCGTGGGAAAAAAAAACATTGGTGGATTTGGACATTGGACTTTGGACTAATGCAGGTCTGAGTACATTGCATAAGAAAAGACATCTCTTATGATAAGAACAACATGTAGAGCCATGTCGGAAGTAAAACAATATATATCAATGCTTCTAGAAACAACTCATATATTTAAACATATCTGCATTCCCTTTTTAGTTTTTTTTTAATTAATCAATTAGCTGATAAGATTCCACGTGATTAACCATCAAATCACTCTTCTTATTAAAGAACAAATATCAAATGGCTATCATGAAAACATCACATCATAAGGGAGAAGAAATCTTAAATGGGTTATAAACTGAAAAGCAACATTGTCTCAAAACTTATTTTCGAAGATGAGTTCTACCATTAGGTTTTTTAAGGTATTGGTAAACAATTGAGATAGAATTAACATGGACATCGATGTTTGAAACGGCGGGTAAAGATCCCGCATTGAAAGAATAGCAACTAAATATCACTAAGATATATATACCACAATCAAAAATTAGAGAAAAAAAATAGTAAATAGCTTATAAGATCATGGGCACCATGCCACCATTTCATAAGCTATCTTTTGAAAGTGAATTCTACCCATTAAACTTGTAAAGTGCTGTTAGGCCCAACCAAACAATAGCTAATAAGATTTTGATTGATAACACATAATATTGAATCCAAGTGCAAAAAAAAAAGAACTGATGTGATGTATTTTGTTAGAAAAACATATGATAAAAGCTAAAAAAAATTGTGGTAATATTTTGGTAAATTTATGAATTAGCAAAATGTTAAAGAGACATTCTCTTAATGTTTTTGGCAAAACCCATCAAATTGATGTCACCTGACAACCTCTGCCACAAAATTTATGTCGAAAAAATCAACATGTCCACTTGTCCGGTAGTACAAACCGACATCATCAAACTACCTATATAATCCTTTTATATCTATTTAGTTGATTTTTTTGGTCACTAAACTATTAAATATCTTGTTTCAAAAGATAATTAATTTCAAAAAATCTCTTAATGTAAGAAGAATTGTTTTTTGCTAATCTCTTATGTATTTTTTTTTTCAACTTCAAAGTAAAATATTTAAAACTAAGATTTGATATTAAAAATATTTTTTTTCCCCACCAGAAAAAATGGGAAAAGCTTCAATAAGGTTGGTTATTGTAGAGGAGGTTCATTATCCAATGAAAACCGAACCGTTTTGTTGTTATCCAACTTGTCTTCGTTGTCTCTCTCTCTCTCTCTTCCAGACTTTCTTGAATCTCTCCTCTCACCTCACACGCCAATTTCATTTTCATGCATCGCTATTTCCCCTTATCTTCTTCTTCTTATCTCCTAACTAAATTATCTGTCTCCATTCATGTTATGGTCAACAAACAACAGAATCTGAATCCTCTTTCCCCATTTCCGGATCACAATAACAAACCCTAGATTTCTATCTATAGTCCTTGATCTTTTCCCTTAAAAGCTGTGATTTTTGCAATTGGATTTTTTCAGATTCGATCGATTAATTCTGTTGTTGAATGGACCTTCTTCGATTGAGCGAAAAGGGTATCTTTTTATCTCAGAGAAGAAGGAAATGGCTGATTTTTATGGCGATTTCTGGTGTTTCTGGCTTTGGAGCTTACAAGGTTTATCATTTACCATCTGTCGCCAGAAAAAGGAAGCGTCTTTTTAAGCTTTTCGGAGCCATTGTCTCTGTAGCTGAATTGATCTCTGATTCAGCTGAGACCTTAAGTATCGTGTCACGAGACTTGAAGGGCTTTCTCAAATCAGATTCAGATGAAATCCCTAACAGCTTGAAGCAGATCGCGAAGATCACAACGTCGAATGAGTTTACGGATTCGCTTTCTAGGGTTTCTCAGGCTGTGACGATTGGTGCCTTTCGTGGGTACAAATCCGAATCGTCTAGTAACAACGTTGGTGATTCAGGAATTGAGAAGAAATCGGAATCGAGTGTTCTTGATAAGGTTTTCTCAGAGGCTGGGACTGGGTTTGTTTCTGTTGTTGTTGGTAGCTTTGCTAAGAATCTTGTTCTTGGGTTTTACTCTGGTAAGCTCGAGAGTGGTGTGAAATGTGAGGGTTCTGATTCTTCAGAGACACCTAAATGGGTGAATTTGCTTTGTGATGATAAGTGTAGAGAGCTTTTAGCTGTTTGTATTGAGAGATTCACTAGCACTGCGATTGGTGTGTATCTTGACAAGACGATGGATATCAATACTTATGATCAAATCTTTGAAGGCTTGACGAATCCGAAACATCAGGATAGTGTCAAAGACGTTCTTGTTTCGGTTTGTAACGGTGCTCTTCAGACTATTGTTAGGACATCTCACGAAGTGTTTACATCTTCAAGGTCTAAGAATGTGATAGAAGAGATCGAAGATGACGATTTCAAGAGTAATTGTTCCGCGAGAAGCAAGATGGTTTCGGAATCAGGAGATGGGATCAAAAGTAATGGGTGGACTGAGGCTATCACAACTACATTGGCAGTTCCGAGCAATCGGAGGTTTATGTTTGATGTAACAGGAAGAGTAACACTAGAAACGACAAGATCAATCATCGCATTTATAATGTTGAAGACGTTTCAAGGGTTCAGAAAAAGTATCAATGTGGTTCATGAAGAGGTTACAGACATAGGACGCCAAGCAGTTGAATATGTTGGAGCCAAATCTTCTGTTATAGTCACTGTGTGCCTCGCGTTGTACTTGCATATCATAAGCGGCTGTGTTCGGAATTCTCCCATAGGCGTAAGCCAGCATTTTTAGTTCTTCAGATGAAGAACGGATCGATTTGGTTTGGATATAGGATATTATTTGTTAGGTACACAAGATTTATCAGCTCTTTGTTTATAGTGGAGCTGATGATATTGTAAAGACTGTGTGCGTGTATTAGCACAACTTGATTCTTATTGATGGATCATATATATACATATTGAAAAGGTTCTTGGGACATTGATGTTTGAGATATATAGTCTTTAATTTTTTAGAACTGATTCATAGTTTCTTTACACTTCTTCAACAAAAGCTTCATAGATCAACAAACCTGTCTTCCATTTTCCGGTCCACACTTCATACAAACCAAATTGAAGCTTGGTGTCTTGGTTTATTGCTACCTTGGGACTGACAAAGACCTCAAACCGACCATCAGTCTCATCTGGTATGTTAACCGGTCCGGTTCCGCCTTTGAGTTTCTCAATGTTATTGTTAATCGATTTGATCCTCTTCCAAATTGTCTTCCCTTTCTTTCCAATTTTCGCTGACATGAAAACTGGAGCTTGGTACCATCCGGTTGCATCAGCTGTGAGTGAGATTTTAAAACCGATTTGGTATGTTTTGCCTGGCTCTATCTTGTCGTACGAACCGGTTACTTCTAACCAACTCACCTTCTTTAGTTCAGCAGGCGTCCTGAAAACACCAGAAGACCCCAGTTTTTTTTTTTTTTTTAACATGGATAACCAAAAACCGGTTTATTCAGAACCAAACCGGTTTTATTCGGTTAATGTGTATCTAAAGCCCTGTTTTAAAAATCCCCGCCTAGCCCCGATTATTCCCCGCTTAATCGCTAGGCCCACCCTATCCGCCTCGATTAATGACTAATCCCCTAAAAAATTAGTAACCCGATTATTCTCCGCCTAATCCGATTACTTCCCGCCTAATCCGATTATTTTCGACCTTATCTTATATACCCCGATTATTTTTTAGATTGCAAGTATAAAAAAACCTTTTATTTTTGTTATTCAATCATTTGAATGGGGAGTTTGTGATGTTTTACAATAACTTGTGTTCAAATTTTAATAAAAATCATAAATTTGTAATAAAAATCATAAATTTTTACAATATTGGATTAATATATTTTAAAAATATTAAAATAACCCTAAAACTAATCCCCGATTAATCCCCGATTTTAATCCGATTTTCCGATTAATCGCTAGGCCCATGCCGAGCGCCCGACTAGCACCTAGCGATTTTTCAAACAAATTCTAAAGTAAGATGAAGGGTGTACCAACCTGTCTTCTCTAGGGATGACCCAATACCGAGAATCACCTCCCCATATGAAATTAAGACCACTTGGCTTAAAGACCCATGCTTTTCTAACAATCTATTAATCAAGTTTGATTTTTTAGTTGCAATAAAATAACCAACATATATAAAATAACTTAAATGAAACAAAAACTAATAACAATGGACTTCTTATTATTACATCTTGTTCCATGTTGGATTCTGCCTCGTAGTGAGAAGAACTCTTGACAGCTTTTTGGACAGACATTTCTTTCTTTGTTTTTGTTTATAGGGAAAAGAACACTTCTCTTAAGTGAGCTTTATATAGAGATTTGTTTCTTTTCACTATATGGATTTTTTTCTGGAAAAAAATAGGATTGTGACAGAAGAAGAATAAATTTGGTTGGACCCAATCTATTCTTCTCAATATTCTCCTTGTAAGGTTTACTTTAGTGCAATAACCATGTAAAAGGCATAATTCAATTGGACGGCAAAAGCTAAAGCAAATGTTCTCAGTTTGTGGCTCTTCTTCTATCTCAACTTTTGTATGAGAATAAAACTGATCACATATTGGATCTCAGTTCCAGTCTAAGGTTACTTTGAAACACTTAAATATTAGTTATACAAGGGGACAGAGTATAGACCCCCAAAAGAAAAAGAAAAACATGTATCCGTTGAATGAGAAGATTATCATGGCGATTGAGTGAAGCTGAAGTTGGTGACGAGTGTTTTGGTTTCAATTTGCAAAAGAGTGACATTTTTGAGACTGTAGTGAAGTTTTGAACTAGTTGGCCTTGGTCGTTTTAGACTTTAATGATTTTGCTAGTGGATAAAATGGCATAAAAAAGTTAAGTGTTTTCACTATTCCTAATGATTTTCAAAACCTAAACTTCAATTGCAAGGAAAAAAATAATTTCACGATAAAGTATACTGATGAACGAATAACCAACCTTAATGTTGCATAATTATGTCAAGAAGAAAAGAAAAAGAGAAAAAAAAAAGCGTTACAATATTTCTTCAATGATTGAAAAAAACATGCCGTTTCACAGTAACTGAACAACGAAAAAACATGCCGTTTTAGTTAATATATAAATAAACGAAGCAAACGTCATAGATGCCAAAACAAAAACGGCACTTCGTTGGCTATCACCTAAGCTCTGAAATGGACTCATCACAGCATTCGCACACGCATGACGCATACAGTCTCCGTTATATACGTCTGAACAATCTGCCTTTTTCATACATCGCAAAGAAGTTGAAAACCAATCACAGTCGTTTGGCATCTGCTCTCACTCACATACCTTCTCCCAGTCATCCACCACTTCTTCACCAGAGCCTCCCACCGGTTGTTTACCGGTACTTTTTGAACTGCTGCTCTCTTCTATCTGAGCAATTGGCTCTAAAGTGGATGTGCTGGCCTTCTCGGGCTCCAAAACACTCCAACGGTTAACCGAGGTAACGATTGGAGTGTTGCTCTTTGCTGATCTCTGTGCAGAGGCTTGAATATCTGTAGATGATCCTCCAATGGGGGAATCTTCAGCTCCCCAGGAGTCATCACTCTCCTGAATCACAGCTTTCCTCCATGGATTTCCTTTGTGAACATCCCACGCCGATCCGCCAGGTAATTTTCCCCATGCATTATTAAGTGATGGAGATTGCCCGTCGTTTTGGACAACCACAGCTCCATGGTATACTGAACCGTGCTCAAGCCTCCTCATGGCAGTGGCCGCTCGGGCATGGTCGTGGAACACGGCTAACGCATTCTTGTCATTCAGCCAAACAAGCTCACATTCACCCCCAAATCTCAGTACCAAGGCGCTGATATTCGCCTCTCTCGGAAGATCCAGTAAAGAAACCACAAGTCCCGGATCCATATCCACCAGCGGATCAAAGAATGGTGGGTGTGGCCCTCCTATCGAGATAGCACCACCCCTAGCTCCAATGATCCGTGTTGGCGGTTTTGATTTTGGTGTTACGTGAACCACTGTAAACCGTTTTGGCTCCCACCCTGCATTGCTAACACCAAGTTTCCACCTCTCAGCTATAAGCCGAACCGTGTCTCGTTTATCCTTCTGCATAGGGCAGAAGACATGGACCTTAAGGGCACTTGTGCTTCCTCTTGCTTTCCCAAGTACCAAGAACTTGCAGCGCTCTTCAACAGCCAGTACCCACTTTGGATCACGCCTATAAAGGTCTGAAATAATCTCTGTCATAGCAGAATTCTCGCTGAAATGTAATGCCTCCAGATTTGGAGGAGTGATATCAAATGCATCTTGAAGAACCCGCTTACGCTCCAGCTTCGCACACTCATCATCACACGAAAGCTTTCTCTGTCCGAGAGGGATTCGGTTTCCGCTCGACTCAACAGGCTGAAGTGGGGCTGGAAGCTTCTGTAAAACAGAGGCTTCATCATAGGCCGCAGAGTAAACATTAGAACCGTTGGCACTTCTTCCTCCAGCATCACAAGGAACCGTAGCGGTTATGCGACCACATGAACAAGTAATTGTGACTGAAAATTCACATCTTAGGTCAGGGCAAGGCGCGGAAGGATGGCAGAGTGCTGCACAAGTGTGTCTGCAATCTCTTCTAGGAGCACCACACTTCTGCCTACACGTAACACGCATACCTGCTTCAGATTCATTGAAGCTGTCACAAGGCTCAGGGTGACAAGTTCTGGCACAAGCATGCATGCCACAACGCCTCGTCTTCCCACAAATCTTGTTACATCTAATGTCTTTCAACCCACAAGGTATGTTTCTGAGAACCACATGACCACCAACGCACTTCTTTTCCACAGGGGCAGAACAAGGAGGACAATCTCCAAAATGGCATCCATGCGTATCAGAATGGCCACAAGGCTGAGGAATCGAGCATGGAAGCTGACAGCTAGGAACAGGTGTCCCACATGGTAGTGGTGGAGGAATCGAAGTTCTTCCACAAGCACATGTAAGATCAGTGAAGATCATCTCTAGACAAGGAGGGCAATGTCCACTGTGACATAAAGATTCACAGGAATGCTGCCCACACCTCAGCTTCTTCTGACAAGGTATTTGGCAGACGTGTGGGTCCCAATCGCCAGATAGATCATTTTTCTTCCCGTTCAAGAGAGGACAGCAACGCTCACTACATCTATGTCTCCCACAGTTCTTCTTACGTCCACATGGCTTAGCGCACACAAACTTCTCTGTCTCTGATGAAGTTGTTATGTAGCATTCCACAGCCCTTGATGTTGACCCACACCGGCATTTCTGGTTAACTTGGACCAAACAAGGCGGGCAATCACCTGCATGGCACATCTCATTGCAAGTATGTAACCTACAAGGAAGAAGCTTCCTACATACATTTGAACAAGAAGGAATTGGGTCCAAGCAACTCCGCCTGATCTGATCTTCTAAACGTGTTTTCCCACAATAGCATGTCTTAACTCTACTGGGCAGTAAGTCACAGTCTCCGCAAGGTCCCGGATGGCAGACCTCGGAACAGAAATGATTACCACATCCAAGAGGCTTCCCACAGTTAAAACTGCACGAATACACACCATCTTCTGCTTTCAATTCCCCCTTCACATTCATATCACCGCAAATGACAGTCTCCACTTTTTTCTTGCAGAAACATGTGGCATTAACCAGTACCTGACAAGGATCACAAGGGCCAACATGACAAGTCCTTACACATTGATGACGCCCGCAATTGAGAAGCTTATCGCAACGCTGCCCACAAATAAGATCAGATCTCCGCTCGGAGCATCTAGTAGTAACCATCTTCTTACCACAAGGACAGCTACGAGGTGGAGCAAACGCCTTACAGGGAGGACATGGACCAGGATGACACTGCAACACACATGCATGAGGACAAAGATCCTCTTTAGTCGTCCCAGCTGCTGCAAGCTCTTTCTCCAGCGGTTTCCCGCATGGTTCCCCACATGAGTGTGGAGTGAGATAAGGATCAGACGGTGGATCTCTTCTCTTTCCACAAAAGCACTGATAGGAAATCTCTTTAGAAGATGTCAACTGTACAGATTGGCAACCTGGACATCTCCAGTTATCACCTTGGTTTTTCTCAGCTAGCAAATCAATTGAAGTTGGTGCTCGAGCCCACCTCTTGATACAGTTGATATGGAAGATGGAATAACAGCTGGAACATGACCAGATATTGGCAGAGCGCCCAACCTTGTCATAACAAATCATACACTCAATGGAACTCTTCACCAGCTTCTCCTGTAACTCTTGAACAAGTTGAGGCAAGTTTGGGTCTGTCAACACAATATTCTCCTCGTTAGCTACCCTTTTCCCCTGATTCACAGGCCGCGTCCTAGATGCAACTCTTTGGTGATTATCAGGCAGAGTTCCAGAAGCATTATTCCTTCTTTGACGATTAGGTGGAGGTGGACCAAGGTTGTTATCACTCCTTTGGTGGTGGTTATCAGGCGCATTATTTCTTCTATGTCGATTAGGTGGAGGTGGACCAATGTTGTTATTACTCCTTTGGTGGTGGTTATAGGGCGGAGGACCAGAAACGTTATGCTGCCTTTGCAGATAAAGAGGACGGGATGCAGCATCAAGGCTTTCATTAGGAGGAAGCAAAGGCTCATTTACCACCACGCTCGAGGTAGATGCGTTTCTAGGAATCCACGTTTGCTGAGGGTTGAATCGAGACCTATCATCGGTCCTATCTCTCCTGACTTGAAAGCTCATATTCTTCCTTGACTCCACAAATAGAGAACCAGAACCTGTACCCGTCACTGTGGGATGAGGAAGTGCTTCTTCTGTACAAAGCAAATGAGAAAATAGTCAGATTCTAGCAATGTCGAACATTGAAATTCACCAAACACGAGTAAACCAATCTAATGTAACAATAAATCTTACACAGCTACAACGATTTGAAATTAACTAAGCCAAATCAAACGAATCCAAAATTGATAGCTCATCATCTACGACTGTAATCGAAAAAAAAAACGCCCGGGTTATCAACTATTCCTCGTTATTTGGGATCTCAAAAATTAAAGTGCCCTATTTTTTTTTCTAATCATATCTAAGAAATTTCGGATACCAACACATAGTCTCGCTTCGAAATTGCTGAATCAAAAACGATAAAACAAAAGTATTTGAAGCTCATAACCAAAGGGGGAAATAAAATTGGTACCTGACAAGAAAAAACAACGAAACAATCGCCGGAAGAATCAAATACGCAAGAGATTCCGATTCCGATTAGTCCCTTGTTTTCTCAGGGAGATAGAGAGAGAGAGAGAGAGACTGTGGGAGAAAATGGAGCGATGAAAGAAGATTATATATAGAGACTGAAAGTGATAGACCGCCTTGCTCCCAAAGGAAATAAAGAGATAGAGAGAGTCGCGTACGACTTTTCTTTTTTTCTTTTTTTTTTATTCATCGCGGCTTGTCTTAATTATTTTATGCTTGACAAACCCTCATGAACCGCCTCATTCTAATGGGCTAAAATTGGGCCTCTAGTTATTTACTTAACCAATCTTAACCGGAAATTTAATTTGCAGATGATTTCGGTTAAGTTTTTATATATATATATATATATATATATATATTTATACTGTATGTTGTTAACTTGAGAGTTTTGAGAGACTGACTGACTGACTACAATATACCAACTACAAACAAAGTGGTCAAGACTCTGAATCGGTGAAAGAGGGACTCTCAAGGTCAGCCATGCTTGCAGAAGCAAATGACTCGAACGACTCCACTGTCGAAAGTGAAGATGTATCTTCCGAATCTGAGTCTTCATCCATCTCAGGGAGCACGATGTGATCATCGTCTTCTTCTTCTTCTTCACACTCATACTCTTCCGGTTCTGAAGCATCCTCAGACCCCATGAGTAGCCTGTTGATAGCTGACTTCGCGGCTTCTGTGAACCACTCTGTCTTCGGGAGTGAGCTGGTCAACGAGAATATAGACTTTTTAGTTAATTCGTTATGTTGAGACAGAGTTGGAAGAGAATTCAGAGATTACCTTTGTGGGTTGATGCCTCTTTCGGAGAATATATTGATGGCTCGGTTGATCACTACTGATGCATGGTTCTGAACTACTTTAAATGGATAACCTGCGAACCGGGCTATCTCCACTGTGAAGTTCATGTCGAGGATCAACTGCAATACGTGACAAAAAACTTCCAACTTTCAACCCAAATCTTCTCATGAAATGAACTTCAACATCAAGTTTCAATTATTTTCATTATTTCCCATTCCAAAAGGTTCAATCGGAGAAAAGCTGAGGTACATAAGAGAGGTGAAAGAGTGTGTCTTACTACCTGTTGCAACCCAGATGGCTGAAGTGGATTTGACTCGTCCTCGAATGCACTCCAAAACTCCTGCTCGTTTGATAGCCAGATTATAACAGTCTCAGTTAATCTCGCTAGTAGAATCTTTTGAAGCTTCTCTTTACCAAGCAGAACATCCCCTGCAATTATGGCCAACTGTTGTAGCTTAGAAAACAATGCCTGCATAAGAAGAGACACCGATTATTCTGTGTGCTAAAACTTATAAACTGGGAACTATAAAACTAGATCAAAGAAGAGGACGAGACCTGAAATGGTAAAGACGGCAGATGCAAGTCATCTGGTGTTTCGGTTAAATAAATGAGTGCGTCTAGTCGCGTTAGTCCTTCCCTAGAGTAGATGAAGCTCAAGACAAACTGTAGACAGAAGTAGTTTCTGAGTTTGTCAAATGCTTGAACCATGTGGCGTTTCCATTCTTTCAGTTCCGGTGCAGCGCTACTGTTTAGAGCAGCACTACTCTCACCTTCTCCTCCGCCATTTTCAATCTGGAGTTTCCAGACTTTAACAAGTGATCTTGGTAAAAGTTCGTCAAGTATTGTAAACGCCGCTCCAAGAAGAGCAAGCTGCTCAGAATCTGTCTCAGCTCTAGCGAGTACGGTATGATCTTGGAGCTCAGGGAGACCATCCTCATCTGAATGGCCAGGCAAGGCTTTGATCAGAAAGTCGATGTATTTATCATATAGTTGCAGTATCCTCGTTAACACACTCTCACCAAAGTGTAACACAACTAGGTGTGTTAACTGCTCAAGTATGTCCTGAAAGAACAAATAAAGCTTCTATAAATTTATGCATATGGAATCATAGAAAATGGTAAAATCAGTGTTCAAAATCAACTTACTTGCACAATTAGCATGAATCGAATGCTACAATCAGTCATCATAGTATCTGAAGCGATAGCGAATTCAGATAATATTATCACAAAGTCAGAGGATGATTCCAAGCCCTCATCAGTTTCAGTCAAGTCAAAGATAACCCTTCGAGCCCGTCTAAAATTCAACTCCAACACTTCTTCAACATAAGGCCGGAACAGCACCAAAAATAGCTTAGACAAAAATAAGCCTTGTGGTTCCAACACTTTGCAATAGTTAACACAATCTTGAAGACATATACTGGCTGCACGCAATGCAGAAGATGTTTCAGAAGGAGAAGCGTTTTCTTTAACCAACCGCACCAAATATTCAACTTCCCTCTCTGCCCATTGAACAACTTTGTTGGAATATGCGGGATTATCATCATCACCAAACATCGCTGCTGATTCTTTTGCAGCCACTGAGATGTTAGAGAAAACAAGCTTCGAAAGAGTGGCGGGGAAAGTGTTTGGGCAAGTGGAACATGAAGGAAGAAAGGCCTCAATTCTCCTGCGGAGGCTTGTGGCGTAAAACTTTAGAAGCAATTGGTGAGCTGAAGGTCCTTTTCCAATTCTGATCAACCCAACCAATGCATGCTTCAATTCAGCTACACAAATCGAAGGTTGTTTAGCTATCCTAAGGAGCTGATCCTCAAGAACCGCCTTTCTTTCCATAAACGCAGACTTGTAAGAAGACATCTCGACTGATCCTTTAAGATCTGGACAACTTCTTTCCTCAGCATCCATCACCTCCAGTGCTTCATCCACTTTATGTTCAGCCAAAAGAAGGTCAATTTTCTCCAGAAACTCAGACTTTGGATCAGTTACTTCATTAGGCAAGGGGTCCTCTTCGACTTCAGCGTCATGTACATCACCAGGTGATCGATTCCAATCATCCATCTCACGGCAAACTCCAGCCATCAGATCCTGCACAAGAATCCCCTGAGAAGAAATATGTTTCCGTAGCTCAACCAACTCGTGCTCCATCTCCACCGCTTCTTCAGATATTCTAAACAAACCAAACATAAAGATATGAATCTCAGAAACTAGCACAACGAATACAAAGAAACATGACTTAACCTTACACCAAACACTCAAGATCCTCTTCATTAGGCAAGGGGTCCTCTTCGACTTCAGCGTCATGTACATCACCAGGTGATCGATTCCAATCATCCATCTCACGGCAAACTCCAGCCATCAGATCCTGCACAAGAATCCCCTGAGAAGAAATATGTTTCCGTAGCTCAACCAACTCGTGCTCCATCTCCACCGCTTCTTCAGATATTCTAAACAAACCAAACATAAAGATATGAATCTCAGAAACTAGCACAACGAATACAAAGAAACATGACTTAACCTTACACCAAACACTCAAGATTTTTTGCAGGCTCATATCATTGAATCAGGAATTGCAGATTCAAAACTCGCAAACTAAATAACATAAAAAACTTAGTAGCATTTATATTACCTTAAGAAAGCAAGGTACTTGGTACGCATATCACCGCACATATTTTCCACAGCGTCCTTTAAATCCATAAGCTCACAGCAAAGCTTTCTAATTCCCTGCATTGTTTAACATTACCAAATCAACGAGCATAAACCCATGGACCAACAGAAGCAGTAATCATGAACAATCTTAGGTTCAACTAGTTTCAATCCAATACGATAAATTCGAGGGCTACTGAGTCTTAATCCAGATCAATTCGAAAGAACCCATTTGAGATAAACTATCTCCACGTACAATGAATCGGTTCAGAGAAGGAAACAATTCAAAAAAAAAAAAAAAAAGGAGAGACCTTTTCGGTGAGAGACTGGTGAACGGAATCGATCTTTGACTGAGGAGTGATGCTTTCGATAAATGGGTACTCGTCGTCTTCCTCGCTGCTCTCCATGTCTCTCGCTCTATCTATTTCCCCCTCAGTCTTCCGCGGAGTCTCACTGTCTCAGACACGGTTGCCGAAAGAAGCACGATAGTGATGCTTTGGACTCTCTCTACTCTCAAGAAGACAGACACATTCGTCGGGATTTTTTGTACATTGCCTTTTTTGTACACAAAACGGCAGGTAGTGTAATATATCAAGCTAAAGACGGCACGATGGTTCTTATGGTTTTTGTCATAATGATTCTCTTTTTGGGCTTTTATTTTTTCCTTTTTCGTACCATAGAAAAATCTATGAAGTCTAAACTATTTCCTAAATCTATTAATCAAAATTTTGTTTAACCACAATTTAGAAAAAGGAGATTTCTCGTCGACTTCAGCAGGCTTGACCAATTCCATTAAATGCAAAGGGTCTATTTAACATTGTTTTTCTTTCTACGTAATTAGTTACGGTCTAACATTATATCATGAGGAATACTTGATTCTTTAAATATGAGGATGATATTTGAATTCAACAACATAATTGTATCAAACATATATCTTTATACAACAAGCGTGTAGTATGTCATTTGTTGAACATAGATAGATTAAATCCTACATCAAAATTTGACTTATATATTATTGCCTTTAACAATCATGATTTTGATGAAACTTCCATAACTAACATATGCTTTTACTCGGTGGAATTGATTCTCTTATTAGATTTCGGTTTAAGGAATCGGGATACGGTACTCCAGCCACCAGTACCAAGTTTGCAAGAGTACTTACTCCATAGCCATAAAAGAAAAGACTTTTTCTTGCTCTTCGAGTAACAATCTTGATCATCTCGAACGTTTCTTCCCAAAGAAGAGATACGAAGCCGGCTACGCTCCAAACATTTTCTATAAGCTTCAAGAAAAGGGTCGTCTTCTCTCTTCCTGAAACTTGAAAAATTGGATCTCGAAGTCCTAACCATATTAGAAGGCGTGAAAGGACAAACAACAAGAGGACTGTGCAACACTTCCTCACTATACATAACATGAGAACATGGATATGTGTAGCTTCTTGATATGTGTAAGAAAATATGCATTTTTACCGTGGGAAAATTGTTATAAAAAAAGCGAAACTCAAATATCAAGATACAGTTATTATATTATTATGTCTTATGTGGGTGTGCATTGTACACACTGTTACTCAAATTTAGATGGGCCAATAGTAGAGGTCACAAACACTAAAATAATAATTAAAAAAAAAAAACACAAATGCGTGAACGGCAGGATTCGAACCTGCGCGGGCAAAGCCCACATGATTTCTAGTCATGCCCGATAACCACTCCGGCACGTCCACATTTTGATTGTAAATTGACTACCTATATATTATTTTAAATATCCAACTTTCTAATTTTTGAGACCTATGCAGAAATATTGCAACGCCCAAACTCTAAGATGTTGTTTACAATGTTTGAGAACCAATACAAATTCCTTGCTCGAGCTGGGAATAGAGTACAAGAGATAAAAGAAAGAAAGAGAAAGATTTAATTTATAATGTTTGTTTATGATTCTTGGATGATTCAGTTTTTCTTTTTTTTTTGTTTACTATTTATTTGCAGCTTATTGTTGAAGCATCGTTGAGCAAAGAAGAGGTGAAATCTACAATCATATCTTGAGAATATATGTGGAATGGATGAATGATTCCACCATTTTATTTTTGTATTATCCGAAGTAGGATCACTCAGAGAGTTGTGTAGATTTTAACATGAATTCTAGAGGCTAAGCAAGCAGACATCATCCAAAATTTTTAGAACACTGAAAATACTATTGAAAAGACATAACTAATTCAGGATGCATTCTTCTCATATGTGCTTGAATGAATTTGGAATGGAATAGACATGCAATCTACGCAATCTATATTGACCATCTTCGGTCCAGATTTGAAACCGAACCGGTTTGATATCATGTCCCTACTCCCAACCATGGAAGTAAAAGCATGTCCCGTGGTTTATATATTCCGGTTTGTTGTTAGGGCCGGATTTAAAAGCTTGGTTATACATTTGCTTTTTAATATATATTTTTTAATTTTAAGATATCATTTATCAATTGATTTCATCAATGATTACTACTTATATACTAGTTAATCAAGGAAACAAATGTGGACCTAAAAAGCTAATTTACTTTCCCTGCATCCATTCCCATGGAAGAATCTCATCTGAACCGACTTGAAGACGAAGTAAGGGATCAACGCTGAAGATCATCAGAAGAGAGTGGTGGTGAGCCATATGCTAAGCCCAAACCAAGCCTGTAATCCTTGTTCTTATGATCCAAACTTGCAGATAGAACACACTCGAGTCCCATTTTTAATTGTTTTTCAAGACATGCATATGCAACACCGTTAGAATCAATCTTTCCCTGAACACGAGACTGAAACAAAAGCTCATATTGTTAGAATTAAAACAGATTTATAAAGACTTTGTTTTCAATTCCATTAAAATCTAAAAAATAGCAATAGCAATATTACCCAAAATCTAGAAATCTCGCAGTCACGTCCAACACTAGCTTTAACATCTCTTGAAAAACAATTGTACACAAAATCAGTGGCGAGTGAAACCTGATTATGAGCAAAAACATACATGTGACACGGTTATTATCTCATCGAGCTTAAAGATAAATTATATGAGAAAGGCGCAATACCTACTGGCCCAAAAGACCTCACCACCCAAAGATAGACAGGGTGTCACACGCTGTAACGAAAAATTACTATGAGCTAATTGTAATTGACGTATTATTGTGTCTTGTCATAATCTTTTTATAAACCAAGCACTTAATTTTTCAGTATAGTACAAAAACAATTCATAATAGTGGCTAATGTCAGAAATCAAATTAGAAAGAGTTCAAAAAGCTTAGAAGAGAACTGTGAGTAACAAATTTACCTGAATATATGTTGCTGCAGTTAGACCTTTGCTCCCGAGTTGAAATTGAGCTTTGTAGTTTAGAGCCTACAGAAATGTGAGCCAAAAAGAAAAAAATGAAGGAAACTATTCATCAAACGTTCATCAGAAAGATAGCAAATCTTCAAATAGAGATAAATTTACTCACCATGTATTCAAAGCTGACTAGTGTGTCAAACAAACGTGACTCATCTATCAGCTGGAAAAGAAGGTAAGAAAACCCACATTTTGTCAAGAGAATGAATATACGCCATAGAAGAATCACATAATCTCTAGTTGCAACACTTACCTGTGTCTGTGCCTTCACGGTCAACTTATCAGTTATAACGGCTTTCATTTTCGTAGTTAGTGTATTATCAGTAGTAACACGTCCAATAAGCGTCAGCTGCAACAAAAACACTAATCTTTTGATTCCCAGAGAGAAACAAACAAAAAAATTCTATTAAACAATCCAATTAACATTAATCATTCTTTTGATTTTCAAATACCTTTGTGTTAAAGTAGTGGGCACCAAGCCCAGAATATGCTCCTGGCACTATGGTTGAACTGTTTGACACAAGAATAAACGGGGTTAACGAGAAACATCAAGAGAAAAGGAAAAATTGTTTGCGTAAAAAAAGAAACATAATTACCCGATAAAAAACTTGTCCTCATAAAAGGATGGACAGTAGTTTAGATAGAAACCACTGATATAACCAGGGTTTAAAGTCTCTGCACAAAAATAAAACTGCTTTGAATCAATTTAAATCATACTAGACAGTTTCCACTGTATATAAGAGCAGCTTGAAACGATTCATGGAAGACAAGTAGAAGAAACGAAACAGTAGCTTAAAGTGCTCGAACTTGGTCAATACAAACAGAAGACAGCTAAATCTCTAACACGACAGTACAATGCAGTGAATCCAGACTCATGTATCTCCACACTGATCGAGAAACCCATAGATTGAGATATCCGGAAATTCAATAAGTTGCAGTGGAAGCTTATGATATACTTAACTGGTAGCTTCGCGATTGATCGGTTTGGTTCTTTTTTGGTTTAGATTGGTTCAGTTATTTGAATGGATAACCAAAATGCTAACAAGTAACACAAGCTCTTAAAATCTTTAAACAAAGTCTTATAAATAGCTATATATATAGCTAACGAATGCTTTAAGAGGAACATATGAAAAAAAATTCAAAATTAAATCAATGCACTTGTGAAGAATGCTCTTCACGAAAATTACATAAATACCAACTATTATTTTATCGTAATACATATTTTTTAATGCAAACATCCATTATTACTCTGTTTATTTTGTTGCATCTCAAAAATATGAAAAACACAACGCTAGAATTTAACACTTACATTTTTTTAAAACAAAAACATTTTGTGAAACTTGAGTTAAAGTAAAACATTTAGTTTAAAATCAAAACAATTTCTTTAAAACATTATTTGTGAAAACCCTTTAAAACTAAACTAAGTGTTAAATTTATCTGACTTTATGACAATATTTGTCTGATTCGGCGACGGAGTCTTAGTCTGAGCCGGGTTCTCCTCCTTTTTTGCCTGAGTCAGAACAGGATCCGCTGGAGCCTTTTAGTCGGTCGGAGTCTTAGTCTTCGTCGGGCTCTCTTCCTTCTTCGGCTTATCCACCGTCTTCCGTCCGAGTTCAAACAGATCCTTCAGCTTTCCAAGAACGTCAACTTCATCCATATCTCTCAACTTCTGGCCTGCCTTTCTTCCCAAATCCGTGAAAAATTTGCGGAAAGCAGCAATTAAGAAACAAGACGATTATGATTATCATAGGTCTTTCTCAACTTTTTTTTATATCCAGAGCCATTTGGGTTTTCGGCTCCAATATTTTGGGTTTCATGTTACAATATTTTCCGTTTATTACAACAACATAACCACAACGTATGCAAATTATTACAGATTTACATGCACAACGTATAAGAGTCATGAAGTAGCCATCACCAAACTTCACCATTGGGTTATATTGGACTTAACTTAAACTGATGAGGGCTTGGAATCATCCTCTGACTTTGTGAAAATATTATTTGAATTCGTTATGGCTAAATAATATTGAATTTATGATACCAAAGCTTACGAACCAAAAAGACGGGATACTAAGTCCGGTTTGTTTTCAATGTACTAAAAGTTAATACTTTCATATATAAAAATATTTTGTATGATAAAAATTTTTAGTTAAAAATCAAATTACTTAAACATAATTTGTAAAAAACCTTTAAACTTAACTAAGAGTTAAATTATAATACATAGAAAACATGTTAACTTATGACACCTCAAAACTTACAGACCAAAATGACAGGATGCTAAGTCTAGTTAGTTTTCGATGTATTAAACTTAGAGCAACCTCAATGGGGGTTTCTAAACATGATCCTTAATAAATAATAAAATATATATATTATTTAAATATTAGATGGGTACCTTAAATTTGGAGAAACTTAGCACAATTGTTTTTTAACTAAGCAACAATTGGACTAAGTTTCTCCAAATTTAAGGTACCCATAATTAAAAAATATTATTTATCTATACTTACACTTTAATTTTATTTAAGAAACCAATGTTTAGAAACCCCATTGAGGATGCTCTTAAACACCACAAAACTTACGGACCAAAAGGACAGGATGCTAAGTCTGGTTAGTTTTCGATGTATTAAAAATTTCACATTTAGAAATAAAAACATTTTGTATAATAAAAAACCTTAGTTTAATATCAAAACAATTTGCTTAAAAACATAATTTATAAAAACTCTTAAAAGTGTTAAATTTATAATATGTAGAAAACATGTTGAATTTATACATCACAAAACTTACGGACCAAGAGGACGGAATGTTCAGTCCGGTTAGTTTTTGATGTATTAAAATTTAACACTTTGTATTTTAGATATAAAAATATTTTTTATAAAAAAATAAGTTAAAATTTAAAATAATTTACTTAAAATCATTATTTCAAAAATATCTTTAAAATGTGAAAATTAAGGGTGAAAAACATTTTCTTAGACCAAAAATCAATCAGGTTAATTAAAAACGAAATCAAAACCATTTTATAAAAATAATTATCAAAAAAAAAAAAGGAAATTAAGAAAGGAGCAACCTGACTCTGGTGATTCGACGAAAGAAATCAAACTCATCTCCATCCTCTATCTTCACGCGAATTCATCATCCTCTGAGCCAAGAGTAACGAATTACCAATGACCTGAATCATATCCTCTATTGATCACGACACCTCTCTCGAATTACCAATAACCTGAATCAACGATGGTAGCAATTGAATCGATCATTTAGCTGAAGCTTACTACTACTCTTCACGAAATAATTAAATTATATCATTTGTTATTTGCACGTAATACATAAGCAAACATCCATTATTTCTCTGTTTCTCTAGTTTCATCTCAAGAAACCGAATAAAAGAGTGAACAAAGATCCCAAAAAAAAAAACAACAACATATTAAAGACCAAAAAGACAAACACAAACGTAAGAAGAAACAAAACCAATATATGTTATCGATCGAGAAGTAGTAGTGACTCTTTTGATTCTTCCATTGTCAAAATCATCCAGAGAGATTGAATTGTTTCTTTAAGCAGCGACGACTTTGTCCTTAGCGGCATTCTCTCCTCCTCCTTCGAGCTGGCTCAAGTTTCCTTTCTCCTTGATCAGCTGAATATGATGATGCTTGCAATAAAGCTTACCCTCGTGAGCTATGTAATTCGACGGGCTTATCGTGCAGCCTCCATGTGTACACTTGAAGCAGCTCTTGTGGTACAATGTTCCATTCACCGACACCTTCACAAAGTCCACATTATAAGCAGTCACAAGGTATGGAACAATGTAGCAATTTCAAAGTCTAAAGTGTGACAATAAATTAAACGTTTCTGCTCAGATTTATCATAGACACAACCTAAGAATCTTCTTTGACACAATTTGATTCTGATATGGGAAGGTTTTAGATAGGATACCTTCTCAATTGGATACACGGTTTTATCGCAGCCAACGCATTTCTCTCGGGTTCCACCAAACATATTCGACACTTTGGTTCCAGCAGGTCTCTGTTAAAGATCTCTCAGATCAAATTAATGTTAAAATTCAAGAACCTCAAAAACAGATAAAAGGTTTTGTTTTGCTGTCTGAAATTACCTCTCCCTCCAAAGGCCTATCAGGTTTTCCAATCTTTGGTGTCCCTATACATATATATGAATCAAACTTTAGATTCATATTTTCAGATTTGAAATCACCACTCACAAAGCTTTCACATTTTGATCTGTTTTTTGGTTTTTTTACCTTCGAAGCTTTTCTCAAGACTTCCAGTTCTCTTGAAGTTTTGATCGAAATGTGGTCTGCAATAGAGAACTCCTTCAAAGGAGTTGTAATTGCTAAGCTGTCTCATCAAGAAGAAGCAGAACAATCAAATCTTTAGAGCAATCAGTTTTCTTCTCCAAAAATTCAAAGATTTCTACTTAATTGATTGGTCTTCTTCATCTATATAGATCTACTTCTGGATTTATCAGAAATAATCACAAAGAAGTAAGAAACCAGAATCAAAGAACAAACCTTGAGAGTTCCTTTGCAATGGTGACATCGGAAACAAGCTTTGTGGTAGACTCGGTTATCGGCGGTTAACTTGTCAACAAGATAAACGGTTTTGTCACAGGCCATGCATTTCTGGGTTGTTCCTACGAACGCCATTTCTTGTTGTTCTTGTAAGAGATCAGACTAAAGTAAAGACTCAGGAAAAAAGAAGCTCAATCGTTTTGAGAGAGAGATAAAGAGGAATAGGATGAAGATGAAAGAAAGAGATTGTCAATTATTGTTGCTTGTTTTTTAATATGGGGACCAGACATATTGAAAAATGAACATGCTTCTCTTCTTTTTAATTTTTAATGTAAATTCTTTTTGAGAAAAGTAGGAAATTTTAAATTTTCTAATAAAATGTGACAAACATAAATTGAAGATAAGTTATGGATGGAAGAACTGTTTGCATTATAAAAAAAAAAAAAAAAAAAAGTTACTATAACTTAACAATGTATATGCAAGTATTTTTTTTTTTTTTTTTTCGACTGAATAATTCAATATATTAATAACTTAGAAGTTTCAGAATACAACTTTACCCAAAAAGACGGGGATCCATGACAATCACCTACATGGAAGAGAATACAAAAGGTACTACAATCAAGTAGTATACATCTCTTCACTAAATAAATCATGTAACCAAAAAGGGTAGCTGGTAGCTACGTATGATTGTCGTCGATCCTCACGTGTCACACTTTGAGCAATGTGGAAAGCACCTTTGTTAGCACATCTCTCCTCAAACATAATTTGCCAATGCGGGATGTGACTTAGAGCAAATAACAAGGACTCGGACTGAGCATAATAGGAAGGCCAAGCTGCAGGCCTTAACACCGCATCCATTAGATACTTCTCCTCAGCAGACAAAAGAAGATTTCTGATTTTGAGACTATGCATACTCTCTAGAGCCCAAAGCCAGCATCTAAGTTCCGCATCCTGCTTTGTTTCCATCTCACTGAAAGAACATCTGCTATGAAGTAAGACCACACCTAAAGAGTTCCTAAGCACCCAAGCAGCTCCTCCAACCTTGTTATGTTTGTCCCAAGAAGAAGCAATGTTACACTTGAGCCAAGGATTGTCCGGAGGCTTCCATACCTTGTGTAACCCCGCGCTTGCTTTGCATGTGTTTTGCTCATTTTCCTTTTGAACCTGTTGAGCCAAAAACCAATGATCGGAGTCGTCTTTGATCTTAGCAAGCAGATCAAATTGATGAAAGACCTTGCCATCAAAAATAAGGTTATTCCTATTTTTCCACAAGGTCCAAATGATCCAAGGAACAGTTCTTCTTGATTCAATAGTCAGCCCTGCATTCCTGGACATCGATATGACATGGAAGACGTTATGGTAGAGAGAGTGTTCAGCAAATCCATCAACAGGAGAAGGAATGTTGGAAAGAGCCCATGTTTGTCTGGCCAAAGTGCAGAGAAACAGCACATGGTTGA